CAGTCCCAATCCTCTGAGCTGGCAAGGGTGTATTCCCTTTCAGATACTGCACTATGAAAAGGAACTAAAAACAGGGTTCAAGTAGAGGGAAACTACCATGTTGATGAGGGTGAAAGAAGGGTGCAGCTGCTGGAGTGTTTTTAAGACTAGAAAAGAAATCAAGATTTCACACATGTGAAAGACTATTATAAGGAGAAGATTTGTTCTACAGTAATCCAGAGGCATCAGAGCCCACATAAAACAAGGGCAGCTTAAACTCAAAAGGCCCTGAGATGTTCCAAAGAAGTTGGCGAGGAAGAGACACACAGGAGTATATTATCACTAGGGTGAACTCTGGTGTGAAAGAGAAGTATGGAGTAGAGACTTAAAAACTTCATTTATGCCCTCGTCAGTGTGGCTCAGTTGGTTGGGCATCATTCCGTGTATCGAAAGGTTGTGGACTCATTGGTAGGGGGCGTGCAGGAGGCAGCTGATCAATGTTTCACTCTCACATTGATGTTTCTCTCTTTCCCTCTCCTTTCCCCTCTCTCTAAAAATCAATAAAGTCTTTAAAACAAACAAATAAATAAAACATTATTTATACTGAGAATCTAATAACCTTAATATTGCCTTGACTCCTCTCACAAACCCAGGCCCTACAGAGAAAATGGCACCTCTTTAATCTATTCTACTTGCTCTACCCCTGCAGTTTCAACCTGCAGGTTGATGAGAAACATGATTGCAGATATTGGAAAAACTCCTAGGGTACTGAATTAGGAGTCAGGAGACTTGGGTATTAGTCGTTACACTATTAACTCAGTGTTTTACCCTGGATGCATACTTAAGACTCTATAAAACTCAGATCTTTATAAAATGAGGGAGCTGTATTAGGGTATTTCCACCTATATAAGTCTTGAATTTCTGAGCTGAGGTGCACTAGTATCTTCTCTGTTAAATCTCACTGAATTTACAATAAAAAATTAAGGTGATAATGTCCACATTTCTAAAACTAACAGTCAAGTAATACTTGAATGATTCCTAACAAACTCCATCCTACTTAAAAACTTCAATAAAAAGAATATTTTGTGTTTTAATCGTTAACTTGATAAAAAAAAAAAGGGGGGGGGGTAAACACCATAAAACAGAAACAGGATTAACAGGTGTTATGAGGATTAGATAAGTATATTTATGTAGTATAGCACAAAATTTTTTAAAAATTACTTGTTTCCTCTGGTTGTAGAGTAGGAATTGCTTTGTACTTAACACAATGTAGAAAAGTTAAAATAAAAAGAGCTCAGATTAATTGGGAAGTTCACTTTAAGTGCTGTGGAGGAAAAGAAAAGCGGGTTCTATGGAAAGTAACTTCACTGGGTGATCTGATCATAAATTCCTAACTAGGCAGGTCATGGTGGGTAGTCACACACCAGGCCTAAAACTCTTTAGAAAAAGGGAAAGGTTTTAAGCCAGCCTTATCCATTGTTCTTGTACATCTAGGTAAACATACCTTTGAAACACCATAAGTCATACCCCTGGAAGGGGGTATTAACCCTCAACAGAGCATATCATTTTGTTAACCTGTAATCCAATCTCTACTTTGCTTTTGCCAATCTTGCTACATGTACTTTCCTCCTTAATTTCAAATGCATAAAAGCTGCTGCAAAATTGTTATCCTTAGGAGCATTTGAGATCTTGCTCCCTGGTATATATCATCAGTTTGGCTCAAATATACTCTTATGAAAATTCTCTACAGGTTCGACACTTCTGACATTAACAGTGCAAATCCTTTTTGGAATGTTTATGGCTTACTTTCAAAGGTAGCCAGAAAAGAGACATTCAAATACTATGGAGTTCAAGACCTATGAGATAAGTTGTTTTTAAAATGAATTTATATTAAAACTTTGCATAACTATAGGATTTTCTAAGCATCTAGAATTTTACCTTCAAAGGCAAATCCAAATAATATAATCAATGAGTCAGTCGGCAAATATTGAAAATTCATTTGGGAGTTCAAGTTAAGTATCAAAAATGAAATTTGTAAAAATTATACATCCAATAAACCAAGGTGACCTAGAGTACATTTTAGTCCCCCCCTCTCCCCTTTAATAGCCACTAGCACCACTGAGCTTCTATCAGGTCTCCTGATAGGTGGCAATGAGGGAATTCAATAGCCAATCCTTGTCTTCTATGGGGCTACAATCTGGGAACTTTTCTTGATCATGTGCCCTACACAATGAATGGAGCAAAAATAAAATGGCTTTTATATTTGCTCTCACAGACCTCATCTTTCCAGATTCTGTTTTTGCAACACATCCTTACATAATCAAAAAGTGAAATAGATTTTTCAAAAAAAACCTTTCTATAAGTTCCAATTTGCTGTCCCCCCCCCCCCCCCCCCCCGCCCCCCGGTCACTCAATCTGTGATAAATCCAAAAAAAAGCAAGTTCCAGCATTGATCTCTTTGTAGAAGACAAAGATGTCTCCTTTGGAAAGAAAATGAATATCCTCTGAGTCCTATTCAATATATCTCATTTTTCCAGTTTCATCACAAATGGGTAGAAGGTTATCATTCAAGGTCTTAACCCTTTGTTTTAGGGATTAAAATTCTAAATGTACCCAGGATCTGAGGATCTGAGGAAGAAAAAAAAAATTCGAAATATAAGCCTTGAAAGCACTATAAATAGTCTAAAACTGCCAAAAGAATGCATAAGTAACATTTTGAAAACCTATATATATTTGGAAAAGCCTTTATTTCAAATCTGCTTTGCATCAAAGTAGTAGCCTCATCTGTACCTGGTGTTCGTTATTATTAAGTAAACAGTGACACTTAGGCCAGCTGTGCATAAAGAGAACACTTATTACCACAGCCCTCAAGCACTCCCAATATAAATGTCACAGACCAGATGCAGTTGTGAACATATGTTCAAGTAGTGAAATTCTGCACACACATTCACAGAGAATGTTACACTATTCTCTAGGGATTAAAAAAAGCTTGAGGGATCCCCGTCAGCAACGCGTTCTAAACACCATGCCTGCTGCTGCTGGGAGGCAGCTGTAGTGCTGCAAGAAAAAACTAGACTGAAAGATCTGATTCCAGTCTCAGCGCCGCTACTTACCAGTTGTGTGACCTTCAGAAATTCCAATTCTTTAAAAGACACTATCTACCTCATAAACAGAGGATTATTAAGGATTAAATTAAATAAAAAATAGGAAAATGTTATATAAATTGTAGGTATTGCTTCAGTTTATACAAATACCTCCAGTTTACACACAAATTACCTGGCAAATCCCCTTGTGGCTTTGAAAGCCATCTTCTACTACGCTATTCGCCCTCCAGCCACAGACAATCATGCTTTCCCAGATATAGCTCTCTGCTTCTCATGTTATCTGATTTGTCCTCTGATCCTCATTCACTTAAAACATACTCATCCTTCAAGGTCAAAGGTCATCTCAAGGAAGACAGGCTAAATCCTTATAAAATACGAGAGGCTCGGTGCACGAAATTTGTGCATGGGTAGGGTCCCTAGGCCTGGCTAGCGATCAGGGCTGATTGGGGCCTTCCTTCCCCTGCTGCCAGCCAGGGCCTTCCTTCGTTCCATGCCACCCCCTGGTGGTCAGCAAATACCATAGCGAGCGGTTGGACTCCGGGTCGGTCAAACTCCTGAGGGGACAATTTGCATATTAGCCTTTTATTATATAGGATGTCACAGCTCTGTGCTGATCTCCGAAAGTGCTTGTCTTATATTTTGGTAGTGACTCAGATCTCACAGCATTGATAGATCTGATGGTCAAGTCCCGGGAGGGGAAACACCACCTTTTATTTACCTTCCTTTCCCCTTATGCTTAGAATCTGAGATTTAATACCAGCTTTGCAACTAAGTAGTAAACTCAGCCTCTTCAGATGTGTAAAGGAGATGGCTGAGCTAAAATTACTTTTCTATAGGTTAACACAAAATCAGAAAGAGTAAGCCCTGGCTGGGTAGCTCAGTTAGTTAGAGTGTCATTCAGATACACCACGGTTGCAGGTTTGATCACTTGTCAGAGCACATACAAAAATCAACCAAATAGGTGGAACAAGAAGTCAATGTCTCTCCCTCTCTCTCTCCTTCCCTCCCTTCCTCTCTCTCTTCCTCTTTCTCTCTCAAATCAATTTTTAAAAAAATTAAAAAACCAAACAAAATCAGAGAGAGAATTAAAATTCTATATCCATGTTTCAGAATCCTTAGAATTTTCATATTGGATAATACTTACATAATAGCTTTTACTGAATTCCTACTTAGAAAAAATTTTACTACCATATAAATTGATAATAAAGCCAAGAATAAGCCCTAAAATTATTAACTGATAATTCAATTTTGGGGAATTTTCAATTATTGAAATAATTAATATTCCAGAGTTTGTTCCCCAATTTATTGATTTCATAAAAACAGAGGCGTACATAACAACTTGCTATATTTATATGAATAGCTTCTTTTTAGCTTGGTGCCAACGGCTGTACCGGCAGCAGCAAACCAATCCAATACTATCTCCACTATCTGACTCAGCAAGCTAGCAGGGTTACAAAGGAGCAGGTTCTTTACTTGTGTGAGTCTCTTCAAGAACAGAAACTCTATCTTAATACATTCATAGTAGTCCCAGCATCTAACTCTGTCCTGCAAATAGATGGCATTCGGCAATGTTTACTGAATTAACACCTCTGAATTCCACTCTCTAGACACTGTGACCTTACTATATGTTCTGGAAGAAAAGATGCCCAGTAAATCTCATGTCTTCAGTTCCATCACAAATGGGTGGTAGATTATCACTCAAAGTCTCACACTTTACAACAGATATTAGTGGTAAAATAGACTTAAAAGCATAGATTTTCATGTCTATTCTCAAAATCATATATCAACATATCTCAAGTAACAACTTATTAAAAAGCCAAGCTATATGCCAATAAGCAATCTATGGTAGCTTTCTCATGACTCAGAGAAGGAAGTTCCTGGATCTTCATTGCTTCAAGAACATAAAGATGAACTTACCATCATCTAAAGTGATGTCCTGTAGACCAATTGTTGAAAAGTTAGGTTCTTGCTCTTCAGGTTCAGGTTTAATGTTCACAGTTGCCTTATCAGATGGAAATGAAGCTGGATCACACAAATTGTGACATATTAAGGATGAAGGTGCAGAAAGACCTCCCTGGCCTGTACTCTGTGCTTGAGTTGAATGTTGTCCAGAATGCATTCTAGTGGCTAGAGTTGGTGATGAGGTGGTTCCTGAGCTAGGAGGTTGGTAAGGCATAGCCTGGAGCTGAGGAGACGGTGGTCCAGAAAGTGGTGAACTGGCCAAGGGATGAGAAGCTGCTGGGGAAACTGTTGTAGCAGACCCTAATTGTGAAGAACCATATGTGATGGACTGTAACTGAGGGGAAGGCTGACCTGTGACCTGGTCAGTCACTGGAGAAGAAAGAGATCTTTGTCCTGTGTTTGAACAATGGTATTCCATTGACTGTAGATGAGGCAGGGTCTGCACAGAATGAGGTGTATGGGCTAAGAGATGTCCTGTTGAGCCTGAATTTGAAGAATGAAAAGGTATGGATGATGATGGCTGGCAGCCAAGATTTATTAAACTAGGAAGAGCTGCATCTTGCTGAAACAAAACAGGAACAAATTCTTGACTAGAGGCAGCATTAATAGGAAGACAAGTTGGTCCATTATACACAACATTAGTTTGCATAGGCTGATAGGAAGACCCCACTGGAGGTGTTGGTGTGACTTGAAAAGGCTGGTGCATGACTGAAGAAGGTAACATATGCTGTTCTTTACCAGCACTCTCATCCCTACACTGCAACTGTGGCAGATGAGATGAGGTTACCATGGATGCATATGTTTGCTGGATGGGACAAACCAAGCTTCTCTGTGCTGACAGTACACTGTCACATGGATGTCCTGTATCTGAGGAAGGCCTCTGGGTCTGGGCAGGATGAGGCACAGGCAATGATGGAACCGAAGACAAGTCAATTTCTTCTCTGTGTTCTTGCTTCATCAAAACTGGGGGGAGGGGGGGGAGAATTAAAGTAAATATTACAATACAAAAAAAATTTATGAAAGGCCTTCATTCTAGGCTACACAACTATAGTGTAAATCCAAGCCACAAACTGAAAACTCAATTGCCTGCAACAATGGAGGGAGAATGCAAAAAAAACACACCTATAAAATGCCTTCAGGGAAGGCAGATAATATATGTGAAGTCAACAAGCATAAGACAACAGGGAGTAAGCAGTTCTTGCTCTAAAAGTACTCAAGTTAAAAAAAAAATACGACAAAGTCCATGCTTTTAAGCACTGCAGTCTACTGTTTTACCAATGAAGACTTCACTTCATCATCCCATCAAGCAAAGCAGAGGCTACGAATATCAGCTATTATCCCTTATCACATCAAAAGAAGTAGCAGAGTCATGATTTAGGATGAGTCCACCTGATGAAAGGACTACTTAAAGTAGGAGTCAATGTATTCTGCTTGTTTTGTTTAATATGTATATCAAAACAGAAAAGAACCACCAGTTAATTTTTTGTGTCAAGACAACGGATTTCATTATGTCTCTTGGCAAGCATATGATTCACTTTTCTAGAAATTATCTACTTTAGCTTCCTATTGAAGTGCTATAACTCATTTAAAAATAACTTTTCTGAATTCACATCTCATTCTTCCTTTAAGTTTGTACTACTTATTAACATAATTAAAAATTTCATGATCTTCACAAAATAGAAGCACAACTGGCCCTTGGACAACACAGGTTTGAACTGTGCAGGTCTACTTATACATGGATTTTTTTCAATAAATACCTGTGCTGTTTTTGATCTGTGGTTGGAAGTCCATGGATGTAGAGGGCCAACTGTATTTCATTTTATATTAAATGAAAATAAATATGAGACCCAAAGCAAGGTCAAATCTCATCTGGCCATTTACCAAACCCTTACCAAGTACAAGTCTCTTCACATAAGCATGGCCTCAGTCTGCGTTAGTGAATTAAGACAGCCCTGATATCTTTTATTGTAGAAGAGGTAATTAATGAAACACTTGTTTGGGGGTGCATTTAAGTTCTACACTTTAGCCTGGCTTCCTAGCAGAATAGCATGGGCTCATCATTCATCCACTTTAGCCTCTAACTCTGGCAACTGGTGAGCCAACAAACCCAAGGATAGAGAGAAAAGTATATCCCCTTATCTTCTTGTTGCTTCTGCTATAATGCTTTTATTCCTAACCCAGGCCTCCATCCAGTTTCTGATTCTTGTTGAAGTGTTCTAAGTATGGTTCACTGTGTCTACTGGCTCCTGACCTCTCTAATGTCCTTGTAAAAAATATTTTAGTTGATTTTAGAAAGGAAGTGAGAGGGAAAGAGAGAAACATGAGCGATGAGAGAGAATCACTGATTGGCTGCCGCCTGAACGTGCCACAATGGGGATCAAGAGCGCAACCCCGGCATGTGCCCTGACCGGGAATCGAACCGACATTCAACCACTGAACCACACCGGTTCATAGGTCGACACTCAACCACTGAGCCATGCCGGCCGAGCTCTAATGTCTTAATGTACTTATTTTTCTTCTGACTTTGGCAGAAATAGAACTTTCTCCTTGGACCATTGGATTTTCACCCCCCTTTCTACTTCAACTCCTACCCTGATCCCAGGAAAGCCACAGTAAATTCTATATTCAGAGTTACAGTTCTATATAAGGAGAAAGAATGTCCAAGAAAGCCTCCTCTCATCCCTTAATTCTGAATGAGCAGGTGGGGCCCTTGGTTATATAAGCAGTTGATTATCATGCACAAAAAAGGAGACAGAGGGATTAAAAACTACAGCATAACATCCATCTTTTTGCCTGGTCCGATCCATATTTCTATGTTCCTGACCCACATCTCGGTACCCAGACTGAGAACTGCTTTGCTAAATCAAGTGTACTTCCACTCTGCCAAATCAAGTATCATTCTTTGGTCAATAAGGGATTCAAAGCCAGTCAATGAAGGAAAAATACCACATGATCTCATTCATTCATGGATAATAAAGACCATTATAAACTTATGAACAAAAATAGATACAGAGGCAGAGCTGCCTCAAACAGACTGTCAAACTGCAGCGGGAAGGCTGGGGAGGGTAGGGGGGCAGAAGCGGGTGGTAAGAGATCAACCGAAGGACTTATATGCATGCATATAAGCATAACCAATGGACATAAGACACTGGGGGGTAGGGGAGGCCAGGGGATTGTCAAGGGCGGGGGAAAAAAGGAGACATATGTAATACCCTTTGTAATAATTTAAGCAATAAAAAATAAATAAATAAATAAATAAAATAAAGATGAGAAATAAAAAATAAATAAATAAATAAGGGATTCAGACTCCAACCTGACCAAAACAAAGTCCTCATTGCTGGTGTATGGTACTTTATTCTTGTTTGGAGGAAAATACTGTTTTAGAGACCTTACAATATGTAGAATGAGTTGAGTTTTAGAAACAAATTAACTCTAGTTTTTGTGTTGTATATGCTCCTTCTGAAATTTAGAATGTTGATGGAAGGATCCAGAAGAAAAAATAAATCACTGGTTTTGTGGTTTTCAAAGTATGAGAAGCCTCATGAACTTCTTCAAGTGGTAGATGTGGAAGAGTAGGATCCAAAGAGTAGAAACTCTCTGGATTTCCTCTTCCAGTACAAGCACAGCACCTAAGCTTGCTTTCATCCTTTTTAAAAAAATATATATTGGCCTTTTGAATAACAATTTATTTGAATAAAATATTTTTTAAAATTTGAAAACCATTGCTTTGGTCTTTAATCCTCATTTTATGGAGAAGTTAATCAGTGGGTATAGTCTGTGGCAGAACTGAGACCTGATGTAAGGCAAGTTTTTTCTCCTAAATGAAACAACCAGAAACCAAAAGTTGGTCTGTCTAGTCAACTACTTAGAACACAATATATTTTCCCACCAGCAAAATATTATACAGGAGAGTCTGGCTCTAATGCTTCCCCTTAAGGCCCATTATTCTAAAACCAGAGCTCAGATGATAGCTCCAGTACAAATAACTTCTGCTATGCTTCAGAAGGAGATACATTCCCCTCAACATCTTGAGGGATGCTGGGGTGGGGGTGGGGCTCCCACATCAGAAGTTCTGAAGAGCTAGAGTCTGGGAAGAAGTTCAGGCAACACCATTAGGGAAGAGCTCTGTGCTCTGTTAACTATCTTCATTTAATAAAGTAAACTAATTGTGGGACAAATAATGCTAAATATCATTTCTAATTTTAAAAAACAATTAAAAGCCATTTGCAATTAATGATTATTTCTCCACTGCATATTGACATTGGTCAGATTCCTATTGCTAAGGGGTTGCCAAAAGGTAACAAACTGACAAATCATTAGTAGAAAACAAGCAGCTTATGAATATCTAAAATGTTTATAGTAAAATTTTAATAGAAATTATTTGCAACAAACATAAAGGCTAAAATCTTAACATAAAGAATTCATACAAATAAATAAAACAAAATATCTATGACATAAAGAGAAGGTCATACACTAGAATACGAAGAAGCTAGTAAAATTATGTAGAACTCTATTCATTGTTGAGGAAAAATAAAAATGCTCATGCTACAAAATTAGTATATATGGGATTGTTCCATTTCTATTTTTATTTTTTATTTATTTATTTTTTTAATATATTTTATTGATTTTTTTACAGAGAGGAAGGGAGAGGGATAGAGAGTTAGAAACATCGATGAGAGAGAAACATTGATCAGCTGCCTCCTGTACACCCCCTACTGGGCATGTGCCCGCAACCAAGGTACATGCCCTTGGCCGGAATCAAACCTGGGACCCTTCAGTCCGCAGGCCGACACTCTATCCACTGAGCCAAACCGGTTAGGGCTCCATTTCTATTTTTAAAAAGTTGTGTCTATATATGGATCAAAAGGATCTATAAGGACCGAATGATAGTTTCAGATGGAAGAGAATTTGGGTGTTTTAAAATATTTTTTCAACTTGTATTTTTTTAAAAAATTCACAGTAATGTATTTGTTTTTCTTTTTAATTTTATTCAAAATGTCATTTAAAAAAAAAAGTCAATGCTACAGAGAAGAAAACAGCAATTAACCAGAATAAGGACTGTCCAAACACTCCTGTGTATTCTTTCTTCCTTGTTAGTGTGCTACCTGATTTGTATTCTGTCAACCGTAAGGCCAGTGATGACAGCTGGAGCCCAATGCAATATTCTCTCGGCACTCTGAGAGCCCCATTGATTTCCATTCTCATAGGGAATGCCGGTTAGGACACTGCCTTTGTATTGTCCTCCTAGTTCACAAGCTAATAATGTAAATGCATTATATTCTCCTTTCTGTTTACCATTCAATTACTACCACTATGATGGTAGTAATCAAATCCTCTAATCTGCTGACACTATTGCTTCCCCCTCCCCCAATCCCAAAAGTCCTCTCCCTTCTTGTTCAAGTTAGACTTTACAGTCCCCAATCTCAACAGCATTGATTACTCTTGGACTATATGTCTTGAGTTGTTGTCTTTACAACTGTATCAAACTTTTCCACACTCTTCAAAGTGCCAAGTCACCACACTCCCTTCTCTCACAGCAGGAAATAAAAGAAAAATTAGATGCAATCATATGTAAAGCCCCTAAACTCTCCACTCTATATCAACAAACCTTCCTAATGCGTTCATTTTCTTTACCTTCCCTCCTATCCTTCCCACCTAAGGCCCATTCCAACATCTGTATTTTAAATCTTATCTCCTCCCAACTTTCTCAGAAACTTGATATTCTTTTATCATTATTAATGCTCTCTCTGTACATTCAAAACACTCTACCTATTTGAATCACTTTTTTAACATTGGGCCTCTCCCATATAAATCTCACTCTCCACAGTTAGTAACTTGGAAAAAAAAAAAAGGTTACTAATATCTTATAGAGACAAAAGAAATATAAGGAAAATAATTTTATTTTTAACTTTTTAATTTATTGAGTATATATGACATTTAACTGTGTAAGTTTAAGGTATACAACATGTTACCTTGATACATTTATAAATTATAGAAAAAATGATTTTTGAAACATAAATTTTGTCATGTGACCATCACCCCCCTTTAATGCTCAAGTCTTGCAGTACTAAGGGCACAAGGGGAATTCACACGTATTCACAAACACCTGCCCTTCCTGTAGTACTGGTGATTTTGGTAGCTTTTGAAAAACAGACTTCAAATCTATATTCAAACTTCTAATTTCCTTATAAAAATGACTACAAAATAGCAATTGATATCACATCTAATATTTAAGGTCAACACAAGTTTTAGAGATTAGACATATGTTGGGATTTTTATTGATTATAAACCACCCTCCCCTGAACATCCTAATATAGAATTCACTGGATAACTTTTTCTTCATTATGAAAGAAAGATCTGTAGCAACCCATCACAACTCCTCTTACCTGGTGTGTAAGTAAAACGTTGAGACTGGCTTTTTTTCCTCTTGCCATTGCAAAGATAAAAGTGCACCTGCACTGCAGCTGTAACTGCTGGGTTATGATATGGAGGAACTTCAAGGACAATGTGAGCCTAAGGAGCATGGAGAGCAAGATTGTGTTACCTTCAGAACTAAAAATGAAATGCACCTGCTAAACTCAGCAAACACTCCTGAGTGTTATCTACCCAGGCCCTTCCACCACAGATCATTCTGCATCAGCTGATCAGGTCTGGATATTTATTATGGATACTTCACTTTAAAGAGATAAGCTCTTTAAAGTAAACCATTATAGGAAAAATTGTTTTTCACTGACCCAATTTGGTTTCTAGTTGTAGCAGAAATAAAAAGTCTTACATACTGTGCAGTGAAATACTTTGTTATACTGAATATTACATGTTACTATACACCTTAACTGGAAGCTTGTTCTGTTTTTTGTTTTGTAATCTTCATCTGAGGATATGTTTTATTGATTTTTAGAGAGAGAGGGAGAGAGAAACATCAATGTAAGAGAAACTTTGATGTGAGAGAAACATGGACGGTTGCCTCCTGTGCTAGTATGTGCCTTGACTGGGGATTGAACCTGCAACCTAGAGATGTGCTCTGACCAGGAATTGAACCTGCAGCCTTTTGGTGTACAGGATGATGCTCCAACCAACTGAGCTGCCCGACTAAGACCTATTCTATTTTTTTCTTGTTTATTTGTTAATCCTCACCTGAGGATATTTTTTCCACTGATTTTTAGAAAGAGAGGGTAGAAAGGAGGGATGGAGGGAGGGAGGGGAGAGAGAGAGAGAAAGATTGATGATGAGAGAGACGCATCAAGGTGAGAGAGACACATGAAATGGTTGCCTCCTGCATGTGGCCCAATTGGGGCTAGGGATCGAACCTGCAACCTAGGTAGGCGCCCTTGACCAAAAATCAAACCTGTGACCCTTCAGCGTTCGGGCCAACACTCTAACCATTGACCAGCACTGGCCAGGGCCCATTCTGGTTTTTAATCAAGTTTATTATTTCCCAAGTTATATTATAGTTTAGATTTCTTATCTTAAATTTTATATTCAAAATGTTTTAAATTGGCAATACACAAAACTTATATCCCTATAAAAAAGAATTTTACACAAGCAGAGTGAAAACCTTTGGCTCCAAACCAATTGCTATCCTTAACCTAATTTCTCGAAGGTCTTTGGAGAGAGAGCACTGTGAGAAGTGGTATTCTCTATCCCAGAGAAGATTCTGTCTCTACTCCAACCAGGAAGGAACCACAGCTATGTGTTGAATCCTGAATGTCTTGATGCTGAAGAGTTGGGAATAGTGTGCTAAATACACAAACCCCTGAGGGCTTGTCTTCCTCCTAAATTTTGCCCACCATACATAGTCTTTACTGAACTTGTTTTATTTCTTCACTAATACTGAATTCAGAGAAATAAATCAATGTAACTTCACTAACAAACTTCTAATAATTTTTCATTTCTAATTTTACTTTTCCTATACACAAAAAAGGGGAAGACACCAATTATCTTTCCTAAAATTTAACTTTAATATCAGAAAGTATCTAGCTCAGACCCAAATTTCTAAATATTTACTTTTCTATTACTTAACAGATAAAAGACTTCTCATCTATACCATAAGCAGCATTATCCAATTTTCTCATTAAGCTTCTAAAATATTTCTAAAGAAATAAGGTAAATTTCTTACCCCTTGACATTTTTCCCTGATTATTTTCCCTTCTACCTCCCATTGAGGTCGTCCATCTGTTGAAAGAAACAATTTACAGTTAAAAGTAATTCAAGTCACAAAGCATATAATAAACAAAATCTACTATCACAAATTTATTGGCAAAGGGAATCTGTTTCTCACCAACTTCCATTACGAATATAAAATGTGTACCTATGGGAAGAAAGATCTTGGGCTTCCTGAGTTAGCAGGCTGCAGAGAGTTTATTCTACTAAGTGATATCTGAAAATCCTGTGAGAGCATCTTCACCAAGAGGTGGCCAACTCCTGCATGCATGCCTTAACTAATGGAAAATTCACTCTCACCAAGTAACCCATTTCATCTTTGGATAATAAATCTTTGCTGCTAGAAAGCTCTTTGTGATAGATTAAATCTATCTCTACAATATCCAACCCAACCCAACCCAACCCAACCAATCTTGAGTGCTTCTCTGTGAGACAAGATTTCAGATGTTTAAAAGCAGCTATGTTTGCCTGTGTCTCTTCTCCTGGTTAGCATCCCTAATTCTGCATCTATCCCTTATACAACAGTTCAGCTTTTTGATCACTCTTCTTTGAACATTGCTCCAATGTGACCAGCTCCCTCCAAATGCACAGGCCCAGGACTGAATAGTCCAAGGAAGAAATGACCCAGCACTGTAGACAGTAACAAGGCTCTTGCCAACCTTATGTAGAGAGAGTTAGTAAGTTTTATGAGGCAGCTGCACCATGTTTTCTCTTACACTTACTGAGTGGTCAGCAAGTGTCCCTCAATCTGCCACATTTCCTATTGCCAAGCTCAAGCTCCCACAATGCACATACATATCTGGGGTTCTTCCCCAACCTTTGTTAACATTAATTTCTCCCTACCAGACTTCATTTCCTTAGATTGCTTGGTTTGTCAAGATCTTTTTAGGTACTGATGGTCTTCTAAAATAGGTTTCTATACTTTCCAGATTTATGTCACCTGAAGATGTGGCCAGCATATTTTCTGTCCTTTCATCCGAAGTGACTTGTTCACCTGGGGAGAGCCCCACCTACTACTAGTGCTCTCACTCCAATCTGATGAACAGCTGTTCTAAAGCATTCATCTTATGTCATGGGCATTTACTCAGTGACTAAGCTATACAAATATCTTCATATCCAGCATGACTTCATCTGGTCTATGAAGATATTAGGAGAGACTTAATCAAATGGCTTCCAGATTGTGACTATCATTTTCCAGTCCAGTAACTAGGTAATGGCTATCTTTGTGCACAAGAGACACTATAGACAAATCCTATGCCTACTTAAAATTATAGCTCAGTTCAGCTATCATTTGCTGGGTCCCCGTGCCAGGTACTTTGGGTTATTGAGACAATGGAGATAGGATACCCTGTCTTCAGTCTGTGGATAAAAGGCAAATACAAATAGTTCATTATAAGAAAATGTGGTGGTTACACTAATAAAAATGCATTCTGGAAGTACCAAGAGTACTAAGGTCAGGGTCCTTATCCTAGACTTGGGATGGAAATATGGGACAAGAAAGGCTTCCTGAAGAGCTCTTGAATTAGGTTTAAATATAAGGTGGAATTCAGATGATGTGTGTGTGTGGGCACAGGAGCAGCAGCACTGGAAATGGGAGTGGAGATGGGCTGGAGCACC